CGCCCTTTTGTGGGTCCATTTCCTTGAAAAATAAAACTTAACCAGGCACTTTGAAGAAGTTCTGATGCTGGTAGTCTATGTGGATAATAATGTCGGTTTACACACCCCAGAACTGAACATTTTGACTTCTGAACTTGCATATTCAGCATGACGCTTTGAACTACAAAATCACACAGCGAGGAAAAAAATGGCGGACTATGAAATCCAGTTGGCCAGAAATACATTACCACAAATGGTAGTTCCGAAGAAAAAAGTGTGACAAAATAAACAATGAAATGAAATAAGCAACAGCAGATTTTGAACAAACTGAAAAATCTGACCCATAAAATAATATTAAAATATCTTTGCAGAAACTGGACAGAATAAATTAAAGTTTTCTACACTCCTAGACATTATAATTGCACAAAAAATAGTTTATCAATGCAAAAAAGTGCATTTAGCATGATATGTCTCCTTCAAAGAGGCAGCACCATGATTTAAACAGGAAACAGAAAGCTATGTGGGAACAGTTCTGATTGACTGCATTCAGGTGGTAAACAGTGGTTGTGTCAAAAGCTTTTTTATGACTTATGCTATTGTGCAAAGTCAAAGTGGCAGATGGCAATCACACACCTGAAGCTATATCTATTCAGAAGATGGATGTTTTTTTCCCCACTTGGCCACAAAGTCAGAGATAAAGCCAATGAATGCTTTCAGATGCACTACAGAAGAATGGTAATTTCTAAGTTGAAAAGATGTAGAATGATTTACTGTACTGCACAAAGAGTTCCTGTGTAAAATATATATTTTGTGTGGGTGTGAACAAACAGGAAGAATCTAGAATCTAGTTGTTATCCAATCCGGGAAATGCCAGAATAAACTTGTGTTCAAAGTAGAAAGTGTATTACAATTACAAAAGTTGAGCAGTTTTTCTGGTAAGTCTAACAGATTCACACGGCATTATATATCTCAATGTCATCCGCCACCTTTCATATCAGAGTTTTAAACTAAGATTATCTTACTGTATGTTGAGAAATTCTGATCCTAGATGCTGTGTCATGGCGGGTTTAATGCTTTTTGCCCACATGCAGAAACACACAGAGAACCAGATGAGTAAAGAAATAGGTTTATTGCAAAATCAAAACTAAGGTTCACGGCTAGGGGGGGGGGGTTCGGCTGGTTGGAGTCCGGGTACGTTTGAACAATTGGTGGAGGAAGATTGGGGCTGGTATGTGGTTCCAGGCGGGAGAGAGCCGATGTTGGTTGGTTGGAGATTAATCCGGCGTTGGAGGGTGGTCAGG